CAATCTAATGGCATTCATCATGCTTTCTCAATCAATCTCATGTAGTATTTAGAATATACATTATATACAAAATCTAATCGCATTCTTCATACTTCATGCACATTATAGCATCTATAAATAAACATACAATATCTCGTATCCACACTAACCCGAAAGTCAGAGTAATCAAGTGGACTACAAACATAAAAGGCCTTCTCCCCCCTTATTGAAAACTGATACATTGTACATTATTTTTGTGCTTAATAGATTCGTAAATAACTTGAAAATCATGATGTCACACTTATCACAATCATTATGAAATCAACATATTTGAATACTTCCTTGAAAACTTCTTAAACTTTTAGTTCAAATCCTTTAATAAACCATTTATGGAAATAATTTTTCAACATGTCTAAACAACCATTTCCATAAAAATCATGTTAACTTTACATATTAAAATACTTGACAAGATGTATCCACTGACCTAGTTGGATATTCAATTCCTAACTTCAACCATAAGTCTGTTTCGACGAAATCCGTGGAGTTTTCACATGTTCTTATATCACAACATTGATTACTATCATTTCCTAGATTAAGAATCTTGTAATAATCATTCTAGGTACTTTCAAAACTAGTCATTTATAGCTAAACTAATTTTCTAGCTAAAACTCATGCTTAGAAATCCATAAATCTTTCATTCCTACCTTAGGTGAGCTTTGATGCTAAGGAAACTCACCAAATCTTTGAGCTTTAATGTTTAACAGAAAATTTGGGCATAAAAAAATATTTTTTGTGCTGAAAAATTCGTAAATCAAGATTTAAAAGTTGAAAAATGTCACCTGTGTTTGAAAAACCAAAACCAAGCTTTCAATTTTCCAAAAAGATGATATAGGGTGAAAATGGGTTTGCGAAAGCTTAGAGTTGCTAAAAAACTAACAAGAGATGGCTTAGAACGCACTTGAAGTTGGGGTCATATGTGAAAATACCCTTTGATCACTTTTATTTTTTCAAAAATCAATGAAATGTATGGATACATTGGCCCGTGTACCGATGCATTTGGTTCTGGGGAAAATGTATTGATACATTATGAACATGTATTAATACATGTTCATCAAAAACCCTTTTAAAGCTAAATGTATTGATACATCATGAACATGATCAATGCATTTGAGATAAAATGTAGTTTTTGAGGCAGATTGCCTATAAAAACTTGCACAACTTATTTATATAAGTAAATGTTCTCTTTACTTTTTACTCAAGATATTTAATGTAAATATGCAAACAACCCCTATTTGAATTCAATAAAATTATCAAATGAATCAAAATCCAAAAGAATCAAAATCTAAATTTCGGTCTCAAGAACAAAATTCAAAAAGTTTGACCGAAATTAAATTTACAACTCTCATTTACTTAGCAAATGCATTTGAAAAGTTATGGAAAAAAAATTTTTTATCATCTAAAAATCAAGGGTATCGTAACCAAAATTTTTTATTTTCAAAAGATTGTTCTATTACAATCATATATTCTGACCTCATCTAAACTTAGAAAATTTTTTATTTCAAAAGTGACAGGTAACAAAAGTGGCAATGAATTCTTTTAAAGGTTAAAATTAAGTTCGATATTCAAAATATGTAATCTATATGCTCACATATGGATTTCCTAACTTATCC